ATTTCAAACTATTTTTCAAATTTTGATAAATTTTTCCATCAAAATATCTTGTCGTTGCATGCAGATATTTACATTTGAATTCAAATATTTAAATATTTATTTACTGGTAAATATCATACATATTTATGTATCGATACAAAATTTGCATGCATAAAAATGTATTGGCTTACATATTAAAAGCTTCTCACGTGTTGAATTTTGAAATAAAATCCAAAAACTTGCAAAAAAATGAATTGTATATAATTAAGAATTCTGTGTAGAAAAATACGTTAGGTCCAATGATTCATTGCATACATACCTTCATTAAATTATGGTATGGCAGAGAAATATCCAACAAGTTAAATATTCTGTGTATCCAAGATTCGTGCCTTTGGCATTTTAATCTCATCTAAATTTGGTATATTGATTAAGCATTGGTTACCGTTAACTCCAAGTGCAATACTGTGACATGGGTTTTATATTATGATTTATTATCAATTCTTCTGCACGTCTCACATTCCAAAAAGACCAAAGCGTCGCATTTCATAACTCATTTACGTCTCTGCACGTGTCAACAAACCAAGCATGACAGCGAAGGCATCTGATGGCATCCACCTTCAGCTAACCACACAACACACTGATCCCCCACACAAACACATGCACAGAAACACACACTGGCTTCGAGGAGAGCTTTCAAACCGACAGTTACAAACAAACAAAAGGCGCTTCATGTCCTAGCTTTTCGGGCCTGGCAATCAATCCAAATGATATACACATTCCAGACTCCGGCTCCGTTCTGGACTGGCTTTGAGCCTATATTTGCTTAGCTGCCAGGCCAGGCAGTTGCCCAAGATTTGATGTATTTGACATATAGACTGCACATCAGTCCTTTGCCGCTATGCCTCGTTTTTTATATATGAGGCCAAAGCGCTTGTGGCCTAGCACAATATGTCTTAGTCGGCCGCAGGGTACGTGCTGTGCGAACGGAGTGTGACTGCGTGTTTAACTGGCATATGGCCTCCCAGTGGATTAGCTATTGATATTTGATCGGGCTGCTGGGTAAAGGCAAATTATGCGAATGTCATGATGTGCGCTGAAATCTAAATTATGACGGGAAATATTGAAAATTGTATGTACATAAAATAGGTATGTATGCCGCCCACTTCTAATGTCTGTTTACAAAAATATATTAAAAATGCATTAAGCTGTTTTAAAAATATTAATAGACAATCTGACAATTACTTAATTTAATTAAATGCTGCACAGCTGTCGCATTTGTGACCATTTTTGGTAACTGGCAAATTGACACGAATTGGACTCCAGGCTCGCAACTAATTAAAATAATGAGCTTTTTGGTGTCGCTTTTGACGGAAGTATTTGGGGGCGTGGCAAAGATTTAGCGGAAAGCTAGCTCAACACGCTACTTGGCACTGTCCGGCCGGAAAGCCAGAAATGCGTAACAAAAGGCGCATAAAATAGTAAAATTTACAGCCCGAAAGAGTTCTCTTAATGTGCCGTGTCGGTGGCTGTGCACGCCGCCAACCAGGACGACACCAGACACCGGGTCCGACGACACCGAGTCCAGGACTATGTCCAATTTAATGTCTCTTTTGGACGGCTTACGACCGGACCAACAGCAACTGGCGACCGGCGGCTTTTGGCCCCATTTCAAGAGTTTACTTATTGCGGCTTTTAAGAGCTTCCGTTTCGTCACGCATAACGCTTTCCAATGACACGAACATCAAAATCATCAACATTCCTTGAGCAACGACACGATCCGTTACGGCCACGTCTCAGCCCGTGTACGACGGCAGGCATGGCCAGAATACGGTCAGAATGTGTCTGCATCTATTAAGTGACAGCCTCTTAAATAGCCACCAGATATAACTACAAAGTGGAGCATGTGTGAGTGTTGTGTGACTAAGCAGTACGCTCTGTTGGGCCAATGATTAAGGTATTTCATGGGCCGTGTTTGGTCATGTTTGTACATCCTCTGAATGATGCCGACCCAACTAGTTATCTTCGCAACGTGCCGCACTTGGTTACAAGCATCTGTAGGAGACTAACATGGCGTATGCATATCTTTTATGAGCTTGTTCTTATAACAATTGACATCAGCGCCCACTGTCAAGCGGCGAGCCAACATTTAATTTGATGCCAGGCACAGCAACGAGTGACTAAAAACATATTGACTGCAGACAGTCAGACAGGCGAGACGAATGAAGCACGGAAAAATAAATAAACCGTTTGTGTAATTATCCGAATAGGCACAGAGCGCTGGGCCTAATTGATTGTTTTATTATTGATTGAGTGTCTTTTTGTTTTTGTTTTTTTTTTGCCTCTTTTGTTTTTTATTTATTTATTTACACAACTCAAATCGCCACAATCTGAGCACAGAGTCCAAGCCACGTGTAAATCGCAGTTGTAATAATATTAGTAAAATGCCACGAACAACACCAACAACAACTTGGCAGCTGGGCTTAAACGCATGCAAATATTATGGTAAATAAATTGTATTGTAAACATCATCAACACGTTCAATAAGTTGGTAACTTAATTACCAGTGCAAACAATAATATGCAAATACAATGAGAGCATAATACCAGCACCCCAAAGCATACCCAAACACCTAGGTGAGCTCAGCATTTAAATCAATGAGTAGCATCTGGCAATCAAAGTCAAGGATATAAACCGAGTCAGTTTGTGATTAATTTGGCATGATTATATAAACTGCTGTTAGACAGGGCACAAAATACAGAAAACATCATGCCGATTGGTCAAGCAAACGTGCACATTAATTCAGACATTGACCAAAACTATTTCCGTTGCAACGGCGGGACATTAAACATGTGCTAAGAAGGGCCACAGAAATACGTAAATGAAATTTGCCTATATTTAGCTTAGCTCTAAAAAGCTGACGATATTGTGGCAATATGCATCCTCAAGTTCGAAATCCACATCTTATTTAGAATTGCAATTAATCCGACTGCTTTCCATACACACAATTACTCACTCTCACTCATATATGTATCAACTCAGCTCAAGTGTATCGAAGTTATTTCGTTATTGGCTGATTTGCGGTGTCTCAACCGTCGCTTCACTCCCCCTTCTGACAATTAGTCAGCAATTTCACGCCTGACCTAATTAAACGCAAAAACAAGTATTTGGATAAAAAGCTAAGCTTACTTTGCAAGTATGACTTTTAAATACTCTAACTATGTTATGGATAAGAAGTAATCTATTCTTTGAATTTATATAAAACCTAAACTAAACTATTTACACGATTAATCTGATGACGACTAGTAAAGCAAGATAAAAACGAAGCCAAACATATATAGCCACTAAAAATCATGCATAGTTCGTCAAATGAACATAATTTTAAGCTCGTAGAACATCTCGTATTCGGCTGCTGACATTTGATTTTTCGAATATGGTTAGGAAGGAGCAGTACTTGGAATCCGCTTACTCATTCATATATTATATTTTGACTCTCTTATGTCAGTTGCTGCTTTGTGGTGCTGGCGAATTAAGTGAGAATATTGCAAGTTTGAGCAAAATGCTTCCACAATTTATTGACAGTCAGGCTGTTGACGGCAGACAGAAAATATTGACATTCGATTTCAATATTTCATGCATTTCGATTTCGCACTGACAAGCTGTAATGCGATTTATATTTGGGATAAGACAGATGCGCTGGCAAATGCAATATAGCAGTCAGATTGCTAGCAAAGCGGGTTAAACGCAAGGTATTTTAAATACATATTTAACTAAAACTATAATCATGAGATAGGTCAAGCGGAAAAGCAGCATACTTTGACCCCAACACAGATTATCTAAAAGCCTAAATTCATAAATTAAGTATCTCAAAGATACTTTGATAAGATTTCATACAGCAAAGTGAAAGTAAAACTATCAATTCGTGAATCATAAAACTATGTTCAAAATTACCAAATGTAGAGAAAATGCTATAAACAATAATTTTGCTCCGCCGCTGCCTACAAATAGAACGCTAGAATTTAGCAATAATTTATGAAGCTGGCATAGGAGTTCAATATTGTCAAAGTAGCAGGCGTCAAGTTTACAGTTTCGAGCATATAATTAATTGATTAATTAACACTGAATATGATAAATGTTGCACAAGCAGCTGTCCATATTGATGGCTAGCTATTTACACAGCAACTAAAATACATACCTAAGCATTATAAAAGCCTATATACATCGGTTTGCAGCCGTAGAAGCAGCCACGTGCGACTTTCTTTAGGAAGGGGAGAGCCTGAAACTGCCAAGTAATGTAATTATTGCAGAACTATTCATCATGTTTGGTGTCGGGTAGCTGGCACTTAAGCGCTTCGCATCGCCTAAGGCCTGTCAAATGTGGCGTATGCGCAATACCAAAACCGACCCTCACGCTCGAATATATCGTAGGTATTTATGCGCTTTTGTTGTATATTAAACACGGTTATGGCTGCCAGGAAACTATGCGAGAGGTTAACTAATTAGCATGTCAAAGCCATCCATTTTGCAGCTGCCCAGTTATCCGTAGCACAATCATACAAACCCCCTTGTCATGCCAACCCTTCTTCAGCTCAACCCTCGGGCCGGTACTGACTTGAATAGCCAAAGGCGTAAATCCCATTTAATTATGCTTTAACATTCATAAGCTTTGCACATACTATAAAATAGCCGAGCTCATTTACAAGCACATCACTCGAAGCCAAAGGAATCTCGCTCGTAGCTATTTGAATTTGCTTTTCAGTGGCTTAGGGCAAAAAACCAATTTGCTGTCAATTTCATTAAAGGACCTAAGAAATTGGTGGTCGTTAAACAAAATGATCGGATCCAAAGCTAAGTTTAAAATTACTTTAATTAAATTACTTAGTTAAGCGACAGGATGAGCAACACATTTCCTCCATGTGAATCTCACAGGAGGTAACCGCAAACTGTCTAAGAATGTAGAGATTTAATAGTACAGTTTTGAGATCTGGTACCATATTATGTACGCAATGCTATTTTATATAAGCTATGTATTATTTTTCATATTACCAAAAGAAACGCATATTATCCTTTATTATAAGTACGCCTAGTTTTCTACTTATGCCCGTACACGTGGCTCTTGTGCTTATATAGACCAACCTTACCCAGCTTTCGAATGCACCGATTTTTGATTCCCAGAACCTCATAGGGGCGACACGCACGACCGCTCCTGAGCAGCCTTCCTGGCAAATAAATATATTTGTGACGTGTCTTGTGGCCCACAGGATTATCGTTATTTGTGCCCTGGACAGTATTTCTGTTCGGTTTGCCTATGGGACCAGCTCGGTAAATATTCGTTTCTTCACTGTTTTCAAAAAGCGCAGGTAGGTAGCCGGCGGCTGCGTATACCCTTTCTCCATGAAGATGGCTGGGCAGAACAGGTACTCGCTCGTCGTTGCCGAGCAGGTACTTCCTTTGTGGCGCGCAACCAGTGGGCGTCTGTACTTGACCATCGGGGCACTCAATGCTGCGTGCCAGTCCAGCCTTATCCTTGGCCTCGTCCAGATTCTCATCAGCCCAGGCTCGCTGGAGTATCTGGTGCATATACAATTCACGATTGACGCAACCTTTATTGGCGGTCAGCACCTCGGTCGGCTTGCACTTCTTCGTATTCTTATCCTTGGTTTCCGATCGCCTTTGTTTCTGTGGATATTTTTCATTACCCGCTGGCTTCGACTTATCCGGATGCTTCTCATTCCTTGGTTGAACTGACTTATCCGGTTGTACCGGTATTACTGTCTTAACCGATTGATTCTCTGCTTGTTGTTTTTCTTGATCCGGCGCCTTCTCCGTCACCTGCTTCTCCGGTTGTATTGGTGGTTTGGACTCAGTATCTGTCTTTGATTGCACCACATTTGCTAGCGGTGTCAGCTGAGCTATTTGCCCAGCTGGATCTTTCACGGTCGAATCGACCGTTAGCCCAGTTTTGCATGCCAAAAGCAACAGCACAACATAGTACATGTAATGATATAGCTCCATTTAGCCACTGTTACGTTTAAATTATTACCTATAACTGTACCGGTCTTAGGCAGATCTCTATCATGTAGGGGCACAGCTAGGCGTTACGAATCGTTTGGGCGTGCAATCTCAATGCAAAAATAATTAAGCTTTCCATTAAATGTCATTGGAGACGCTGCTCCAAAGCGAATTAATTTCGTTCTTATTTGGCTTACAACGACTTATTTACCACGCAGCGCGTCTGCTATAGTTAGTTAGTTGTTATTGTTGTTATTGCCGCTTCGTTTTGCAATCTCAATTTCCCCCACAATAAAATTAATGTTTTACGTAGCCAATTCCGAATCGTTTATTTCACATAAAAATGCGATAAATAAGCGACGCATCCTGTGCGATGACGTCGAGAAAGAAGAAGCCCAAAGGCGGCAGGATAAGTCCCTTAGCTGCTGCTACTGCTTTTGCTGTTGATATTGCTGTTGTAGTTGTTGTTGGCTTGTGCACCTACAGCTTTGAGTGTTTATAGCACAAACGATGCGGAGGATGTGCTGCGAGGCTTTAAGCGCGAACCGCGCGGAGCAAAGGATAGCCGGAGCAACTATGGGTTCAGAGTTTAAAAACAAAGTGCGCAGTCCGAAAACAACAATGAATAAGATAAATAGGGTGGCAAAGGTTGGCAAAGTGAGAATGAGAGAGAGAGAAGAGAGAGAGAGAGGGACAGAGAGAGAGCGAGAGAGAGAGTCGAGACAGCAGTGAGATCCATTGAAAGCAAAGACAAAAGCTGCCCTCGTTGCAGCACCATCACGCTGCTTGTGTCGTCTGGGTTCACCCACCACAATCACAGCAACAGCAAAAACACAAATGCTAACAAGGATGTCGTCCACGTGGACCGCTGAACTCCTTACGTGACTGTTGTTAAAAATTTCATGTTAATGGCCACACGAAGCTTCGGTCCTAACCCTTTGCTATTGGCTCGCGCACATGTGTGCCGCTCTCCGCCCATCTGTGGGTCTGCATGTGCATGTGTGGGTGTGTGTGTAAAGAGGTCATTGTGCTGCCATATTTTGGTCGCACCTTTATGCTAGGTGGGTTTTTTCCTTTTGCTGTCCTTTGCAAATTTAATTTCGACTTGTGCAGACGGTCCAAGCGCGAAAACCAAACCCAGCCATAGGACAGAGGAAATGATTTTAATTGGGGATATCTTTTTAAACACTTGCCCATATTTATGGACTCCTTGATAGAGCAGTAAGAGGAACAGCAGCAGCTGCTAGAAAAGTGTGCACAATTAAAGGCGAAACTTCCTTTCTAAGAAAGTAAAATCGAAATAACAAAGCAACCACGGCAAAAAGATAGCACTGAGAGTTCCACTGAGAAAACGAAAAATTAAAATGTTCCCAGTACTAAGCGAGTCAAGGACATAATGCGCTTTACTTTCTGCACCTCAGCTTGGCATTTGCTTCACTGCTGTCACTGTCACCTAGCTACCAAGCCCACAAAGGTGACCAGCTAGTCGGGCATTGTTCCTGCGGCCTTTGCAAGACTTTTGGCTTTAGCTTTGGCTTTGGCTTTACTTCTTTTTGCGCATTGTTTGTGCTAGTGGTCTTTTGTTTTCTTTTTTATTTTTTTTTTATTCCACGCTATTCCTATTGAAAGTGGGTAAGATGGGTATTATGGTTTTCGGTAAATGCATGTTACAGGCCGAGCCACTCAACTCCGACCCCATATATATTCCTGGTATCAATAGCTGCGGCAATGTTGCCACCTTCATCTGTCTGTTTCTTCGCTAGTTCGTACGTCCGTAGGAATACATCGACCTTTGAAAGATCGAAAGAGCTACAGGCTTTATGCTTGAAATGTAGGTCCTTCTATTACACGCACATCGTGTCTCAAATCGGCGATAGCTTACTTTGTTTCCACGATGTCGATAGGAATCGATTTTATATCTAGAAGCACCGTGCGGAGCTTGCCTGCTTGAGTGTGTTTGTGCAAGTGTATGCATAGAAAGACTTAGTCTTATTATTTGTGATTTGATGCCGAAGGCAGGGTATCTCCTAGTGAGGCTTTTCCGACTCTAGAACGCTTAGTTGTTTTATTTTGTATTTTTGTATCGCTTTGAGTATTTGCCATTTGTGCTGGTCCAACGGCTAGTTTGTTTGCTTGTCAGCGCCCCGGGTCTTTGCGAGGGTAATCAGATAAAAGCTTTAGTGTCATTTGGGCCAAGCTACTTAATTGCGAGACGAGAAGCTTTGCAGTTTCGATGCTGCATTTATTTTCAGCAGATTGAATAAGGCATAGTTACTGCAATGGGACGACATAAAACTCATAGAGAACACTTTGAAATTCATTTGCAAGGAGTCAAGTGGAAACACGTTATGTGTGTTTGCTTGCTCGAAAGTCATGTACGGGCAAGTTATTTGGCTCAAACAACCAATAAAACAAACAACTAACACAAGCTGCTCACTCGCACACATGCAAGGCAACAACAGCATGGCAACAGTGTTGGCCATTGTTTTTGCAATGCCCACATCCAGAGCTGCATAAATGTTCATGAGTGCTCATGAAATATTAAATGTTTATGAATTTCAAATGTTTCTAACTTCATTTGCATAATCCTTGTGTTTGTCAAAACAACTAGAAAGTGTCACATATCATTTACATGCCGTCTGACGAATAGAAAATGCGACACGCAGCACTCGACACCCGGCACACGACACACAAAAGACAACATTTAACATTCAAAGGCAACACGAAATGTATCGCAAAACGAGCAATGCTCCGATGAGCCGTGAACCCCCAGACCCAGCATGAGAGCAAAAGTCAACGTTTGAATATCAAGCAATGAAATGCTGCACAATTTATGCAACATGCTTAATAAAATCACATGACTATTTCATACAGATAGATAAAATTGGTATGTATCGGAATCGATATTTCTGTATCTATTAGTTATAGCTTTATTAGTTTTAATTGAAATACGTTTTAACAATCAATCAATTTTATTTAACTTTTTACCTCATACACTAAGTTCATACAATTCCCTACTATCTCGAAGAAATAGTAACCAAGCCTTTCAAGAATTCTTAAGCTGCATTGAATAATCCTACAGTGGCGTTCCTAAGCTGCTAATGCCGTCGCACGCAGTGCATTCGAGAAAGCTCAAGGGCTTTTCTCCAACGCACGTGCATACCCAGAAAACCAGTTTATTGTTATCGTTATCGTCTTGCCCCGACACTCTGCACGTCGCTGCCAACTGGCAGTTTGTGCATATTTTATTGCGTCCGTTTCCTGTTGCATTTTTGTTGCATACTTTCAGGCTAATTCGTGCTTCATATTTTTTGTCCATTGTTATTGCTGTAGCCTTTGCAGTTGGCGTGCATTTTTATTGCAAATTGCTTATGGGAGAGAGTAGCAGCTGCGGGAGCAGCGCCAGCAGCAATAGAAAAACGTCAACTGCTGGCCTTCTTATCGAGCGGCAACTGTTTCCTTGGCTGTTTTGCATTAATTGCCACTCTACGCAGGCTTTGGGTGATTTATGAGCGCAGCTTAGCAGTGGCCACTTTCGCAAATATAAATACCAATAAAATAACCACACACACAAACACACACACACTCACACACACACACACACACACATACATACACTCACTCACTCACACACACACAGTATGCTCATTCAAGTGCTCCAAAATTTATAACACGAATCCGCTTGCCAAACAAGAAATTAAAAGTTTCTGACCCGCACATACAAACTTTTTGCACACGCATGTGGCGCAGTGTAAAATTTATTAAACTAACTGCAAATTAGTGCAGAATTACATACACACACAGAGACACAGTTGACAACACATGTGTGTGCCAAATTTCGGGCGATGAAAAAAGAAACTGCTGCATAAATCAAGGCGCACGCAGCAGGGCAATTGTAAAATAATGTTGCCAATTGGCTAAATACTTTTGTTAGCCCGCGCCGATGCGCATCGCTCTGCCCTTCAGCTTCCACAATATTAAAGAAAAAGCTGTGCCGCGTTTGAAAAGAAAAGTAATGCAGTGAGAATTCCCATAGATAGATGCTTGTCTGCAGCGGGGGAAGCACTTTCTTTTGATGTTTTTTTTTATTTTTCCTTTTTTTTCTGGCGAAAATTGTAAAACAATTGTTATAAATTTAATGCGCCTTTTTTGGTGGCATGTTCTGTGCTTGATAAATGCAGACAATTAGCTAAATGCTTCACTGGCGCCAACAGCCGACAACTGCTAGACAAGGGGACAGCTCCGGTTCCCGAGCTCCGTCAGCCCCGCGTTGCTCCAAAGTGACTTAGTCATTGCGCAGTTTTTGACACGCATCCAAATTAGTTGCTACTGCAGTGCAGACAAGGAAAACCAACAGATAAGCGAGACAGCGGGCTATAGCAGTAGCATAAAGCGTGGCCAGTACACCCAGTTGGAGGTCTCTTATTAATTGCGGCGAGCTGTACCGGAGGCGATAAAAAAGTTCCAAGGTGCTGGCCAGCAAATATTATTAATGCATTTTGTTTGGGCTGAGACTTTTGCGAACGCTCATTGCCCTCATAATTTGCCATTGGCCATGGCAGTAGCTGCCGAGAAGTAAAAGTAAAATTCACAACAAGACGGCATTTTTAAATATATTCAAGGCAAGATATCGCAAATATCATGCTTCGCAATGCTTTGCTTTTCACAAATATTTTGGCAAAGCCACATTCCTATAAACATGTTTTGAATTTGGTATGCGCCCGCGTATGTGTGTGTGTGTGTGTGTCTGTGTGTTGCACTTGTAAATCCCCTTGGCGCATTGTTATTTCCGCATTATAGAAAAGAGGGCATTGAGCAACAAGCGGAAATGGCTTAAAGGATATTGCAATTTTATTTTGGGAAAAAAAGCCAAATCATCCAGCCAGAGGAACTGAAAATATGCAAAAGTGAACAGCACTCGAGCAGGAAGAATGCAAAAGAAATTGTACAAATATTACCTATGGTATACATATATGTACTAACAACTAACATATTTCCCTATCGGCATTTTAATGGCTAGTTTTA